CATCATCATTATTATTATTATTATTATTATTATTATTATTATTATTATTATTATGCCTTACAGAGTGTGGTCCAGCTAGCCAGCTAGTCCAACAGTGGCTATCTACCAAGGGAAGGTCCAAGAATCCAGCAGTTGTTCAGTTCATGAGGCTGGATGTCTCAGTTGGTCTTCAGTATATGCTGGAATCCTGAAAAAGTAGGCTCTAATACCCGTGAAGTGTGGACTTGTCAGCAAGAGAGAGAGAGCTAGCAGGCAAAGAGAATATGCCTCCTTCTTTCTTGGCCTTTATACAGGCTTCCAGCAGAAGGTGTGGCCCAGATTAAAGGTGGATCTTCCCACCTCAAAAGATAGGACTAAAAGTAGGTCTTCCATGCTGGGAAACACACATAAACAGCTGATCTGAACAAGGGGGAGCTCATGGACCCCAGTCTGACAGCTGGGGAACCCTGCATAGGACCAAACCAGGCCCCCTGAATGTGGGTGTCTGTTAGGAGGCCTGAGCAGTCTATGGGGCCTCTGGCAGTGGAACCAGTATTTATCCCTAGTGCAAGAATGGACTTTGGGATCCCATTTCCTATGGAGGCATACTCTCTCAGCCTAGATACATGGGGGGTAGGGCCTAGCCCTGCCCCAAATGATGTGACACACTTTTATAATCCCCCATGGAAGGCCTCACCCTCCCTGAGGAGTGGATTGGGGGTTGGGATGGGAGTTGTGGGGGGGCATGGAAGGACTGGAGGGAGAGGGAATTGGGATTGGTATATAAAATAAAATTGTTTTTAATTTAAATAAAAATATATTTTAAAAAGTGGGTCTTCCCACTTCAAATTAATTAAGAAAAAAATTGTTCACAAGTGAACCCAGTCACTTGGGTTTTAGTTAATTCCAGATGTATTCAAGTTGACAACAAAGAATAGCCATCCCAAAGCACTCTAACAATGGCTTCTTTAAGCTCCCAATGTGACTTTAGAATCTGGGGTGGGAATCAATGCTCATACAATCTATGCAAGGTAGGCCCCACATTTTTTATTTCAAACACCCAATAAACCTTCAGCCTCCACCAGGGGAACTTTGATCTTTTCCTGTCACTCAGCATTTGCCATGGATTTTTAAGGCTTCTAAGCCATCATGACAGCAAGTCTGCCTAACCCTGAAGGCTTCTGCCAACATATTGAATCCTGTGTCCTGATAAAAAGTCACTATGACAGTTAATTTTTGCTTCTCCTTGCATACAAACTAGTTCTAGGCACTGTTTCTGGGTAAACTCTTCTCCCCTTACAGGGACTGTCCCAGTCACTTGATATTGATCTTGAACCCTAACTGTTCCTCTGAGAGTCAGCAGAGAAAATGGAGGACAGCTTTTAATGCCTCACAGGTTGCTTTGTGGGATGTTGTATCTGGAGAATATACCAGCATGGAAGAAATGCTGGTTCTGCGGGGAAATGGCAGATCTCTCAGTCATCTCCAAGAGCTC